GAGCAGATGTAAGAAGGTAGTTTATCCAACATGGCTTTGTAGATCAACATGTACCTGTGACTGCGCCTCCGTACAGTAAGTGAAGGCAAGCCTGCCCTGGCATACAGGGTACAGTGATGAGTTAATACTTTACAGTTGGCTACAAATCTCAGTGCGCTGTGATAGGCGGCATCTAACTTGATCAGGTAATGGGCAGGTGCATTCATATAGATCAGATCACCATAGTCCAGCACAGGTAAAAAGGTCACAGAGACTAGCCTTTTCCTGGCTTCAAACGAGAAACAGGACTTGTTTCTGAAAAAGAAACCTAGCTTCACCCTTAGCTTTCTAAGCAGATTATCAACCTGAAGTTTAAAAGAGAGAAAATCATCAAGCCAGATACCTAGGTATTTATAACAGGTAACCACTTCAAGTTTTATTCCTTGCGTAGTTACAATATCTAAAACAGGCTCTGGTGTCTTTTTAGCTTTTGAAAAGAGCATTACCTTGGTTTAATCAACATTTAAAAGAAGCTTAAGCGCTGAGAGCTGAGTCTTAATAATGAGAAGCTTNAGTATTACTATTTCGGCAATTAGATAAAATATAAATTATATTTGATTCAACTTTGGTTACATTTCCATGCCTTTTCCAAAATGTTGGGAAAATATTGTTTTCCATAACTTTTCCAGGGCCTGGAATTTGCATTTTGAATTTCCATGACTTTTCCAGGTTTTTAATGACCGTAGGAACCCTGAGACTTTCAAGAGAGGTAGGTTTCTATAAAACAGCCTCAGAAAATTATAAAGTAAAGTCCGAGACCCTGCAATGATACCTTCACTGAAGTGGAAACCTCAGCTGGGGGGTTGACGTGCATCTTGTGGAGCAGAGGCTTCAGGAAATCCTTGTCCTGTAGACACATATAGATGGGGTATTAACATTTCTATACAGAAAGACGCTTCTAATGTTGATGAAAAATGTATGAACGCAGGGCCGTGAGACTCACTGTGAGTTTCTGGATCTTTCCAGCAAGAGAAGAATGGAGTCCCACGTGTTGAAACAGGGAGGGTCTGAAGCGCACGCGCAGGCTGGACTTCTGCCGCTCGCAGTGTTTCTATAACAAATACAGGGAGGATTGATGAAACCTAAACTCCTTACAATATCACTTACTTATAAATCTATACAGTGGTCTCAGTGCATACCGCATCTTTCTCCGGGTTGCAGACTTTGACCCACAGGATGTGGTCCAGCAGCCAATCGATGGGCTTCTCCTTGTAGAACATGAAGATGAACTCAACAATGAGGTTCAGGTCCGGAGCCTGGAACATTTTTCCTGGAGGAAAGAGAGATTAAGGAAGGTTTATAGACATGCATTGATTCTGCACAGCGTCATTAAAGACAAGACGAATACAAAAAGGGATGTAGTGTGTTGCTACATATGGATTTGCTATTCCCTGCCAAGTCGTGGTACTTTACACGTGACCCAATTTCTACACTGATCCCTCTCTCTCTTCCATCCACGGTGCATTTGACTGCATTTGATCAAAATTCTGTCAAGTCTGTTTCAGATTTGTTTTTGTATTTAAAGTTAGTTAGAGTCATTTTACCTGATATGTATGTATATGAAAAATAATCAATCAATCATACATGAAAGAACTACATATCCATGTTGTATATGGGTGATTACTTATTAATCACCAACAGAAGAAAGTCTTTACATCATAACAACAGGATTGTCACCTATTGATAAATCCAACAAGTATTTCTGCATTTGAGTACTTTGCCAAGTGCTTTCTAAATCCTGAGTTAAGAGAATGAGTAAATAATCACGTTTGAGAGACCATTTAGCCAGGAAATGTGACTTTTTGGCTTTCAAATAATGACAGATCCCCCCCCTGTGGATGCAGTGTATTGATCATGTGCTAAACGGGTCGTACCAATAAAGCCCAGCTGAGAAAACTCCAGGATCATCCAGTCCTCCGACGAGAGCTGCAGGGCAAAGTTCTTCATGGTGGCAAAGTAGTTAGGCTTGGCCACGATATCATCCTCCAGCTGAAGAACAAACCAGGAGGAAATGAGTTGAGGATGCTGATGGAGACGGTGGGAATTAAGAAGGAGACTCCTCTACTCAAGGACAACCATGTGACCTGAGCTAGGAAACACTAAACACTAAACTACAGTAGCAGCAGAAGTCAGACAGGGCAATACCTCTTCCCTCCGAGCAGAGAATGGAAAAGACATACGGCATGCATGAGACAGAAAGTTGGGAGATTAACGACACAAAACTGTGCATGGTGTGAGAGAAAACATTTATGGAAACATTCCCAAGTTAGGCGCCTAGTTTAACCAAGAGGAAATTGGCTTCAGTCTAATGAAACAATACAGGCTCTGATGAATATCTGCAACAACACACATTTCATTTGGTATGTTTTCCCAGTAACAGGCTTCACGCTGACACATATGAGTAACTGTAGGCAGAGCCCTTCTTAAAATGCACTCCAACAAGTTGCTATGGGAACCTTTATTTTATTCATTTTTCTATTTAAAAGGACGTACCTGGACATAATAAACTCCTTTGCTCACAGCATACATCATGAGGAAGGAGTAGTCCAGATTCTGCTTTGTTCGCCATCTGAAAACAAAGAAGAAAGAGTTAACATAGAATACAACTATACATGAGTGACATGGGGAAGGGAAGCACGAAAAGTTGAATTACATATTTTTAAAATATATTTTCTTCCTCTGTCTGCTTTATTTCTCTTTTATCCTGTTCTCAAAATAAAATACTATATTTTCTATATTTTCTGTTTACAATGGTTAACGTATAATCTTTGGCTGATGAAAACAAACAATAGACAATACAACTATTCACAAAAGAGAAAGTAAACACATGTTACTGCCTTTGGGATAGACCGACTGCTTTACATGCATAAAAAGCCCCATTGTGCAAATCAGTTATTCTCAGGTACACTGAACCACAGACTCTACTTGAATAATTTATAAAGCAGCGCTGTCACGCTAATGCAGTGGTTCTCAAACTTTTTCTGTCAGGCCGCCCCTCAGGAGAAAAAAAAAAGTCGGGCCCGGCCCCCCCCCCCAACACAAATAGTCAGGCTCAGTGGCGGCGCCAGAGATTTATTTTGGGGGTGCTGTGAGGTAGCTTGACATTTCATAGAGGGTGCTCAAACATTTAGGGTTTCCCATTAATGTACTACATTAATGGGAAACCCTAAATGTTTGAGCACCCTCTATGAAATGTCAAGCTACCTCACAGCACCCCCAAAATAAATCTCTGGCGCCGCCACTGAGCCNCAGATTGATGCTTTTAACTTCAATATTTAAAAATCTTCCCAGGGGAGCTTGCCCCCTGAGGTCCACACACCACCTATAAAAATAGGACTTTACCCCTGCTTACACCTAGAGCCTTCATTGTAACAGTCGCGGGTACACTGTGTGTGTGTGTGGGGATTGTTGCAGTAGACAATTCCACCGTAGCGACCGGCAGAGACCTGCATCGGGTCGGGTACCCGACGGGTGACCCGCAAAAAAGATGATGATT